AGACTTACTGCTGTCTGCATGTTGTGTCTGGGATGTCTGGGCGGTATGTTTATGACCCTACCTTGACCTCTGACAACCACCTAGAAAAACTGTCTGCACAAAGAACAGAGCCCTGACCCTGAGTCAGCGCATTGCATAAGGCAGTTTAGTGCTCGTAAATGATCAAACTTAAAGCAGTTGCTGCCTATATGCTTCAGTACTCTGGCTTCAACTGCTGCATGATGAAAGCTTAGGGAGGGGGGGGGGAGGAAAAAAAAGGTTTGGATGGGTGCTGTCCAATGACCTACTTTACTAAAAGAGGGTTTTACTTCTTTTAACTATCACAGCATCCCTACTGTAGGCCCTTCATGCTGTGCGCTTTATGGTTGGAACACAAGACATTATAATGTGAAAATCCCCCAATTTCTAACCAGTATAATACACATTTAGGGCTTGTCTTAGCTTGCAAGCATTGGAAGATTTTGCACAAAAATAAATAAAGAGAGAGCACTTCAAGAGAGGTAGTGGATTTCAGATGATGGAGGATGAAAGATGGAGGAAAAACCTGTGCTCAAACCTGTTAACTACACCCTGCAAGGATGAGGATGCTGCCAGGGTAGAGCTTCATTAAACCTAATACAGAAACAATACTACATGTTGCAAAGAGCCTTGCTGCAAACCCAGTGTCTCTGCTTCTCGTTACTCCCAACCAGGCTCTCAGGTATGTGCAGCTGAAGCAGGACTGCTGCAGCTGACAGTGAATGAATGGACACGACAGCTAGCGTTGGCTAGGTCTAATCCTGAAGCTCACCGCGCGTCAAAAATCACCTCCACTGAAGGATAAACGTAATATCTCCGAAGCGCACAAACAATACTCACTGTAATTCGTGGGATGTTCTTCTTTCCTTGGTAACCCGACATTTTTTTTTTCCAAGTATGCCTCAGACACAGCTGCCCTCTTGGCTAACGCTAGGTAGCTACGACTGGGAAACCCTTCAGCTGCCAATGAAAGGATGAATGGATGCTCTCGCTGGTTGGCCAGTCGACGCCCTGGGTGAGCAGAGACCTGTCTCACTGTCTGTCTGTCTGTCTGTCGATGAGTGAGTGGGGTTTGCACACCTGCAGCCGAGGCACACGATGTTAAACGAGTGGTCAGAGCTTTGCCCGACAGTCCTACCCTTGGATTTACTGCTGGATTTAGATCTCAGAAGACCAGACAAGCACCAAGAAGAGCCAGGGCCCACAAAGAGAGACCGCGCATGCGCACTGCCCCGCCCTGCTCCAGCTCCATGTTTCTTTGATGTGTTTGATCATCTTCACTGAGGGGGGGGGGTTAAGCATCACCTGTTTATTTGACTGTGTCAGATCATCACAGTCATTCTTTGCACTACTTGTCCTCTACAGTTTATTTATGTTTATATAATTTCCCACACACACACACACATTCATAGTATTAGACCTATATATTGTTGTATATTCACAGCACCTGTCTGTAGCCTATTTCAATTAATTAACTAATCTATACTGCTGTTTAGATATTTTTCTGTCCTGTACAATTATTTATTTTTACACCATGCCACTAACCTGTGCAATATTCTATATCACTCACATCTCTGCATAAAAAGCTGTATATAGTGTACATACGACTCTTATTCTGTTTTCATTATATCTTGTATTTTTCTATTCTGTTTTTATTTCATGTGTATTTTCTTATCTGTTGTGTCTGGAGCTGCTGTAGCGAGTGGATTTCCCCAGTGTGGGATCAATAAAGTTGATCTTATCTTATTGTGGAATAAAATAACTATTAACAGTTACTTTATTTAGATATGGTCCCTTTTTATTACCTGCTTTAGCTTACTGCTACCACAACCCACAGCTAATGTCTATATATTAAATCTTTATCTTTTCTTAATTTATGTGTAAGGTGCATTACATTTATATTTCTGTTTTATGGTATTATTTGTTTTTGTTTGGTAATTTGTATTTGGTTTTTTTTCTACTGAGTTTGCTCTTGGTCCTGGAGAGGTAGGGAGGGTTACAGGGTGGGTACAATGTGCAGTAATGTTTGTGTAAGTTCAATATTTGTGTAGCTGTGAGTGTATGTACGTCTCTGTAAATGATAAAGTTTTAAAAACAAAATATTTCTGTAAATATGATAGCAAGTTGTCATATGAGGAGAACCTTTTACAGGGAGCAGTTATATAAGATGACCCTTTGTCCTGAACACACAGTGTGTCTTATAATAGCTGTTTCTGACATTTAATTTACTGTTTGTGTAGTTAGAAAGAATTAAAACACTATATTCCACTGTGAGCAATGTTACACTTTAATGTCATGTTTCCAATACGATAACAATCATACTCCTAGGTCCTAGCTACTTTGCACTGATGGGATAAAATTTGACATTAAGCAGGGCCCTGCCCCGAACAAGCATTGTTTGGTCTGTCAGGTTGAAGACAACAGTTCTGTACATGCACAACGAACTAGACTAGACTGTGCCAGTCAAAGGCATGCAAGTAGGCAAATAATTAGGATTAGAAGCAACTAAACATTGCTTTAAAGTTAACCTCTCATATCTACTGCATTGCTCGACCATGTACAAATAGCAAAGAGAAGAGATTTCTTTGTAAAGGCACGATTTGGGATAACCGTGGCCTAAATATGGTTAGACAGGTGGGCCGGTGACCAAAAGGTTGCAGATTTGATTCCTGAACTATCAGGACGAATACAGGTAGAGAAAGTTAAAGAGTAGCACTTGCCCCCGTCATTACCACCACCGCAGAGCCCTTGAGCAAGAGCTTTAACCCCAGCTGCTCACTGTGGATGTACTGGGCAGCTTCTAGGTGTGTTTGTGCATAACTGAGTGTGAACAAATCCATCTTTCCTGGATTAAAGAACAAAAACAAATGCCTGTAGATCATTTGAACCTTGCTTAAAAAGATTCAACTACTCACACAAATAAGTTTACTTTGCACTGATTATGTTAACATAGCTAGGTGACCACAGGAGTTAAAAGATTCTTATTTAAACAAGTCCTCTTCTGAAATGAATCTAGAAAATCAACTTTCAAAGACTGTTTGTCTCAGCCTCTTTGTACTGTATTCAGTATACAGTCCATTCAGATTTGCAAATGCTCACTGCTGCTCACTTATCAGCTGTGCAGAAGCCTATAATGATATGTGCGTTAGTTATTATAACTTAAATAATGCATTAAGTTTTGTGGAGCTCTATCCACTCCCTTAGTATTTATATCTCAGCCACTGTATACAGTACAAACTTTATTCAAATTCCAAAATGCTCTGTATTGCACACTGAACTGTACATAAGCCTGTTATGATGACAGTTTATGAGTTAGGATGAGTTATATAAAGTCTGAAAGCAGGTCGAGTGCTTTCAAACCAATACAGCCAACACTGTGCATTAGGGTCTATGATTTCTTTCCTATGTCATCCATTACAAACACTGACCGAAGAATCCTCCGGTCATCCGATCACCAGCATCAATATACAGAAACATGCATTTTCTTCAGGAAATGCTCCTCAGGTTTCTCTGGAAGTTCTACACACACTGTACACTGTTTATTGTATCATGTTATGTGAAATGATTGCACAGTGTATTCTAGATAAAGATCAGTTAGATTACACTCTTAAATGAGGCCCCTGGAAATACCTTCCACTGTGATGGTTTCTGCCACCGATGCTTCGGCTATTAAATGACAGCAAAAACACATTACGTACACTGCCACAATGCTATATAATAACAATGATATAATATGCATTAATATCAATTTATAAACAAATTATACAATGTCAAAATGTGTACATGGGGCAGATCACAGCTTAAATTATTTTTCACATCTATATCTTTAAATACCTAAACATATCAGAAAATAAAAAAACAAACAGTCTAAGATAAATCACCAATGTGCGGTGGTGAAAGATACAAATTTGGCACTTTGCCATTGCTGCTATGTTTTGTTAAAGAAGACGATATGTAGGCAAAAAGAACTAAAAATAGCATATGGCCTGGTAAATTGCCATCCAGCCTAGGTTCCGCTATCATAGCTACTCAAACAACCCCACTGTAAAATGTTACAGCTACATACTAGAAGCTTTCCAACCTTCAGAAAAACAAAGCTTTTAATAAGAAACCCCCGGGAATCAACATGATACGACTTCTATTCTCAAAAAATGTGTGGAATTTAAAAACAAATCCCACTGTGCAGCATCATTTGTCCCCCCCCCCCCCCCGACCCCAATAACTGCACCTTGAATGTTTAGCTAAAAAATTAAGCGATAAAAAGTCCTTTCTGTTTCCAGAGCCAATTCAAATTTGTTTTATTGCAGACATATTTTTGGTTATACACTCTCCCTACCGAAGACACCAGTGGAGAGATGCAGCTTGGGAGAAAAGGCCAGATTTCTCAGGACATAACAATCAAAAACAAGTAGAGAAAACGTCAACCCGAAAGCCACCGGACAGCAAATCTTGTCAATATATTTTAGGAGGTGGAAGAGGATGGGACTAATCT